AAGTTGACCTTTCAAGGTCAAGTTATAGTTCATTCGATGCGTCTTGACGAGAGGAACACGATGCCGGTAAAAGTAAGCTCGTACGAGGCTTGGGTTAAAAGTTATTGCAGAAAAACTGTTTCCGAAAAAAATGGCTATTTTTGCAGTTTTTGCCCCCTGCAGGCAACACCGTTGACGTAAGGTCAAATCTGAGCGAATTACTCAGAAAGGGCGTTAATAGGGCTATCGAATGCGATTTTCCGCGGCGCTGTAGCTCTATTGGTTCCCGAGTTATGCGTTGGCTTCTTGGAAATTTTTGACATTCGACCTGAAAATCGGCGAAATTTTGCCTTCAATGACCTCTGGTGACCTGACCTTTGACCTGACCAAAAAATTGTCCGAAGTGATTTCGTCATTATTTTTGACGTTCTTTCGAACGCCGCCTTCCACGTATCGCTACGTGGCCCAAGAGACGAGTTACAAGGGGGGTGTTCAAACACCCCCCAGCAGGGCGTGGAAATCCAGGACCCCCAGCCGGGCGCGGGTTAATAGGTCTAGCCAGCGCCCGCCACCTTCTTCCGCATCATCTCCTACCTCGAATTGTTGATGCACTAGTTCTGTCACACGTGCGCTATTGCATTCAGGTTTATGGAAGTGCCAACACTGCGCGAATTGCCAAGTTGCAAAAAGTTATAAATTTCGCAGCAAGAGTAGTATCAGGAAGACGAAAATATGACCACATTTCTGTTTGTATCGATTCATTGGGCTGGCTACCGGCCCAAAAGCTCGTCAATTACTCGGACCTGTGCCTTCTGCACAAGATCTGGGGAACAGGACAGCCGGATTCAATAGCTCAGTACCTTCACACTAATCGCGACAGAACGTTACGTGACACGCGCACATCGAACAATCTTAGCTTGCCACGTGTAAAAACGAATCATGGAAAGCGTACTTTTATTTACCGATCTGTTACACTGTACAATAAGCTTGTTATAGCCGAGGGTGCAGACAGACTTACGCTGAGCAAATTCAAAAAGCATCTAAAGCTTTCTAGATTACAATGATCATAGCTAGGAGAAGGTGATTTTTAGCTGTTTTATCGTCGCAGTATTTGATTTTAACAGTGTTGTGTGTTGTTCGTTATCCCGCGACCGCCTGGTGGGGGGGGGTCGGATCCGACCCCCCCCCTCCGTTTTTCTTGAATAACTTATGAACCGCTTACGCTATTGACTTGAAACTTGGCATACCTTCTCCCCCATCAATTTGACGTCTCCTGTGTAATTTTCAAGAAAAAAAACCGATTTTTTTAGATATATCGATTTTAGTGATGTAACTACATGGCGTTCTCAGTCAAAAAGTGGTAAATGTTTAAAAAATCGCCAAAAATCAGGGTTTAGGCAAATTGCAATTTAAGAACATGAATAGACGCAGCTCAGCGAGTTCTTTAACCCGCGCCCTGCTGGGGGGGGGGTGTTTGAACACCCCCCCTTGTGGTTTTTCGCGAATATCTCAAAAACGGCGTCGCGGAGCGCCGCCGTTTTTGGTACACCTTATCATACATCAATTCTACACATGTTGTTAAAATTTCAGACCAAGGTCATTCAAGGTCAGGTCACCAGGTCACTTGAAGTGACCTCACCTCATAAAAAGTTTCAATGTCTGTCATAGCTACACCGAGTGACCGATCGCTTTGAAACTTTCAGCGATTGCTAAGAGCAATAGCATGTACAAAATGTATTTCTCAGAATTTTGATATCGATGACCTAAGGTCAGGTCAATTTTGCGACCTCCCCATTACAAGTCAATGGGAGAAAATTGAAATGCGCCTCTTTTGGACAAAAGACATTATAAACACTCCCAAACACCGAATTACAAGTAATTTAGACACACTGAACATGAAATGGTGACCGTGACCCTTGTTTATGCCCTGAGGTCATCTTAGGTCACGAATGGTATCTAACAGTTTTTCGCAAATAACTTTTGATAGAGGCATGCTAGAGCGATGAAAACGCCTTAGATGTGTTCAGCTCGACGATACGGATCGACTGATATGCAACATGACCCTTTCCGGTCAGGTCATGACCTTGACCTGAGGTCAAATTTTCAAGTTGACCTTTCAAGGTCAAGTTATAGTTCATCCGATGCGTCTTGACGAGAGGAACCCAATGCCGGTAAAAGTAAGCTCGTACAAGGCTTGGGTCAAAAGTTATTGCAGAAAAACTGTTTCCGAAAAAAATAGGCTATTTTTGCAGTTTTTGCCCCCTGCAGGCAAAACCGTTGACGTTAGGTCAAATCTGAGAGAATTATTCAGAAAGGGCTTTAATAGGGCTATCGAATGCGCTTTTCCGCGGCGCTGTAGCTCTATTGGTTCTCGAGTTATGCGTTGGCTTCTTGGAAATTTTCGACATTCGACCTGGAAATCGGCGAAATTTTGCCTTCAATGACCTCTGGTGACCTGACCTTTGACCTGACCAAAAAATTGACCGATGTGATTTCGTCATTACTGTTGACGCTTTTTCGAACGCCGCCTTCTGCGTATCGCTACGTGGCCCAGGAGCCGAGTTACAAGGGGGGGTGTTCAAACACACCCCCCCCAGCAGGGCGTGGAAATCCAGGACCCCCAGCCGGGCGCGGGTTAAAATGGCTATCTCGGATTTTCCATAAAATGCGTTTTTTACCCCTAAAAATTAAAAACTTATAATTTTGGAAAACAGCTGATAAAATCAAAAATTTTGAGAATTTCCAAAAAACCGGAATATATGTTATAGAGCTCTATTAGAACATTCGACGTGCCAAATTTCAACTTTCTATCTTGATTTTTGACCCCCAAATTGTAAAAAATAGCTCCGACATGCATAGGGCATGGTGACGTCATAAGCATTTTCGTGAATTAGAGGCACTTCTGAACATCGCATGTGAAAACAAATGGCACCACTAGATTCCTGGGACAAAGCTCGTCCAGAAAAGTGCATTTTTATGTCAAAAATAAAAAGTTGAAAAATTGACCTTTTTTCTTAGCCCTCGTTTAGTTATGTATGGTATAAACGATTTTTTATGCTTTCAATGAACACGTATCACCAGCACAGTGACTTGGGGTCACATATAACCATTACCATCGGCTTCGGCGTGAAAAATAAGCCATAAAACATGTGTCGCACGCCCATGTAGCAGAAAGTGAAAACCGTGACCTTTCGTGACATGATCTGACCTTGACCCGTACTTAGTATGACCCCTACACGCACATGGTACCTTCACTAGTTCTTTGAGGTCATTTTTGGTGAGTTTCGAGCAGCAGCTGTCGATTCCGCTGTCCGTAAGCCTAATCATTAAAAACCCCAGAATTTGACCTTTGACCTGACCTTGACCCGAAAGTTGACCTTAATCTTAAAATCTTAACCCTCGCCCCGTTGGGGGGCCATTTTGCCCCCCCCCCCTGTGGTTTTTCCTGAATAGCAAGAAAACGGCGGCGCGCAGCGCCGCCAAATTTTCAATACCTTCCCGGGCATCAATTTGACACCTTCACACCAAATTTCAAGTCTTAGGTCACCTTAGGTCAGGAGTTATTGAGGTCAAACTGAGGTCATGTTCGAGCAAAAATGACCAAAAAAACATGCAATCTTGAAACGCTCACCAACTCTACAGTTATCAAGCAATTTCAAAGTTCTTTATATGGTGTAGTAGACAAAAAGCGGCGCTACAAAACTGCTATCTCGGATTTTCAAAATTTTGGGTTTTTGACCCCAAAAAATTAAAAAAATTGATTTTTTTTAGAAAAACTAAAAAAAATCCAAAATTTTTCCGAATTTCGAAAAAACGCAATAAATGTGATAGACCCTGCGCTCTTCTATATACATACTAAATTTCAGATCGATATCTCGTTTTTTGGCCAAGTTATAGCGAAAAAACTGTTCAAAAATGATGACGTCAAATTTTTGAACTCAATTTGTAGCGATTCTAGACCACGTACGGCAAAACAAAGACCACCATTGAACTCCCCGTGACGAGCTGCATCGATTCGATACCCATTTTATGCAAAAATATTAATTTTAAAATTTGACCTAATTTGACCTGACCTTGACCTGACCTTGACCAAAACGTGACCTAAGCTGGCCCCAAAGGCTGCCTGACCCACATAATCGCATTCGTCATGTAAAATGGACCATAAAACATGTATCACACGACACTTTCATATTGTGACCCCCCCGTGACCTGACCTCTGTGACCTGACCTGGTATCAGTGACCTCAAATAGCAAAATATGTGTTTGAAGAACATTTCCCCATCGATGACTTTCAATGAAATGCATTTTACTCGATTTTACAACGCATTTCTTGAAATGCCTATAAACGGTGAAAATTGGACCTTTGACCTGACCTGTGACGTCATCGGTTTGACCTAGGTCAATAAAATTGGGTCACAAGGTAGTTCCCTGATAGGGCTATCCAACACCGTTTGCCGCTTGTCGCTAGGTTGCGTGGTTCTCGAGATCTTAGGGGGGGGGGGCAAAATGGCCCCCCCCCCAACGGGGCGCGTTGCTCGGCAGAGCCCAACGGGGCGCGGGTTAAGAGTGCTTTGGGAAGGTCTCGTAGATACCTTTCAAACGCCGCCTCGCGGGGCTCGATGCGACCATTGGTTCTCGAGATAACAAGGGGGGGTCGGATCCGACCCCCCCCCCCCAGGCTGTCGTGGGTACGGAAATAGCCCAGGCGGTGCCGGGTTATGAAGTGTTTACTGACAACGACCAGGGAATAGCCCATTTTATGCGGATCTGGTTTGCTACTGTGACAATAAACAATAAATAAAAATAAGGTGCACGTGATGCACCCTACTTTACCGAGCCCGGATAAAATGAGCACCTCTGGTAAATACATCCGCATTCCGCACTCCGGCAGACTCACGTAGAGCCGTCGGAAGAGAGGATCACTGGCGTTTCAGATCACGTCTTATCACATGGGTTGTTTTGTCCCGGTTCTGTTCGGGATCAGCTACTGCTGTGTAACGTTATCCGTATCTGGCCGTCAGGCTGGTGCCACAAGGGCAGAAGGAGGGCGTCGAGATGCAGGTATCGCTACAGAAGGTACAGGTGCGCGAACATCAGGACCGGCTGAACCAGGCGGACATCAGGCTGAACCGGGCGCTGGCCGACCAGAAGAGGGCGGAGGATGACCTGAAGGTAAAAGACCTCTGCGTCCCACTTCGGGTTAGCATCGTTGAGGTGCAGTTTAAACGAAATTTTACCATAACAATTGCCAACCAGCTATTCTTTCGATGTTGGGGAAAATTGAGAAAATTTCATGAATTTCGGCAATTTGGAAGAGGTAAATCCCACAATTGTCCCACGTTTCTTTGATTCGCCAGTGCATGTGCTACGTGTGTCAGACATGAAGTGTGCGTCCCCTCGACCTTCGTTCGCGGCACATTTGCCCTCACGTTCCGCCCCATCTTCACTCTACAAATCTATTTAAGGAATCGCGCGCCATTAATACGGCCACGGAGACAAGGCTGCGCGAGACTAAAGCGCGCAATGACCACCTCATCAGCAAAACCAGCGACCTGGAGCAGACCAACGCCTCACTGAAGAAGCGTTTGCACGAAATGGAGCGCACAGTAAGTCTTCGACCGCTTAGCCACCCCATCCCCTGCCAGCAGGGCCTCCAGGTTGTATACCGTATAGGAATAGTGCAATACATAGCCTGACGGTTATTACGAGCGAGCGAAGCAATTGAAGTTTTACGTAGAATAGCAGAAATTTCCGGGTATGATCGGCCAGCCGGACGTGGGTGCGCTTTTGCGAAGCTTATATATCCGCAACACCACTGAACCGATTTACTTGCGGTAATTTTTTAGGGTAGCTCTTTGCCTGCTCCCAACCATAAGACTATGGCCGATGCATGTGGGTGACCATCATGCACGTACCACCGCCACGTGCAAAAACGAAGAGATGCCAGATTTTGTAATAATTGCAATCTCGGTAACTACTTGGCCGATTGCGGCAAAATTTGCAGTTGGGTAGGCACCCAATAGGCACCCACCAGACAATGCATTTCCATTTGTATGGTTGGGTTTGTAAGCTACCTCTGCACGTGCGCACGTGCACTGCAGAGGTAGCTTCCAGATCTAGAAGACGGTTGAACCGATTTCGCTCAACTTTGATACAAGGCTAGGGGCAGATAGAACGGTGCCGTGCAAAAGTCAGTTGGGATCCAGTTTGCACGTGCAAACGTGCAGGCTGCCGCTTCCAGATCTCGAGAACGGCTGGGCCGATTTCGGCAAAATTTGGTACACTGCCTTAGCCCGCGAGTTGCTGGGGGGGGGGGGGGGGCGTTAAACACCCCCAATTTTTTCGCCGATCTTTAGCATAAAAACGGCGCCAAACTTTGGTTACCTGTAGGGAATTGATTGAAGCTTATCCCTCGCCGGCACGCGCCATTTTGCGTCTTTCGACGGCACAAGGGCGTTGGTGCGATCCCCCTCGCGTTTGGCCCCTGATCGAACTAGAGCTTCGCAGAAAAACGAGCGTGTTGCCCGTGACGAGAGAAAGACGATGATACCTAATTTTAGGGTCCTAGTTCATCAGTTGACCTTCCAGGTCAGGTCAATGACTCAATCGTCGGGAAAATCGGGACCTGTTAGAACGTCGTAAAGCGTAGCTGCTAATGTAAGTCATTATCATAGATGATGTCTTCATGCATTTAGGCCAGGTCGGGTCAGTTCAGGTCAGGTCAACCAGCCAGGTATTCGTGGTAGGTGGCAACCGCCTCTGACAGCTTCGTAACATGTTACGAAAGCACCAAAACTACTTAGTGAGTGTTTAAATGCTTGCTTAATTCGAATTCAGCTAAAAAACTAGCATAGAAACATGTAAACTCGACAAAGTGAACCGATGTCATCAAAGGTCAATGACCTGACCTGACCTTCCGGTGACCATGATCCGCACCCTAATGCATGGGAGCAACAGCATATCCTCTCGTTTGAAAGCTTAACCCGCGCATGACTGGGGTATTTTCCATAACGCGAGTGACTGGGGTGGGGGGACTCTCCAGGGCTTCCCCCCTCTTATCTCCGAAACTACCAAGCCGATCGTCAAAATTCAAACGGCTTCTGATAGCACTGGAAAAAAACTGTCGAATAAAACCTATTGTCATTGACCTCGAGGTCACCGATGACGTCACAGGTCAGGTCAAAGTAAAAATTATCGGCATTTTTGCTTGTTTAGAATTTAGGCTCTTGCCGCCGGCTGACAAATCCGATCAGGCTCATTTTTGGTTTACGCACTCCTTGATATATGCCTTAGATACCCTGATGGTACCAAACTTTTACTTCGAATTTTTGCAGGTCAAGGCCAGGTCATCCTAGGTCACGAAAATTGTATATCATGTATCGGTCACGTGACGCATGTTTTATGGTCAATTTTACCCGTAGATTTCGAAAATAATGTCGTATGTGTCATTTAAGGTCATTTTAAGCTGAATTTACCGGGGGTCAGGTCAATTTCAGGTCATAAAAGTCAAATTTTGGAAATGAAATTTTTCAAAAAAGGTGCCTATAAGATGCAGTTTGAGCTCAGGAACACGATGGTGCCATTTATGTATATTTCTGTACGATGTAAAAAACGTACTGAAAAATGGTTTTGAAAAGTGTATAATTGTAAAATTTTGACAAAAACGCAAATAACTTGGCTATTTTTGAAGATATTCGGCTAAAACTTGCTAGAGTAGTTAATCAGTGTGCTTTCTATCACATTTATTCCGGTTTTTGCAAAAAAATCAAAAACTTTTGAAAAAAATCAAAAAGTATATTTTTTGTAATTGTAAAAACATTTTTTCGAAATTTTTAACTTTTGAAAATTTGAGATAGCAATTTGATAGCTACGTGTATTTGTAGTGCACTGATGTAAAGAAATTGGATCTAGCTTTAAAACTACGCTCATGAGAGTGTTTGCCATAATTCAATATTTTGCATCAAAATCGGCCGACATGACGTCACTCTGACGTCATTTCTGGCCAAACTATGGTAGATAGAAAGTTGAAATTTTAACACAAGGTGTCAAATTGATGCCGCTGAAGGTACTGCAAGTTTAGTGTTGATCCGTGAAACGGTTTAGAAGATATTGCCGAAAAACGGGAGGGGGCTCTGTAGAGCCCCCCCCCCCCCCAGTCATGCGCGGGTTAAAACGACGAAAAGACTGCAAACGCGCGGCTAATGCGAGCCGACATACGCTGAATCGCGATTCCGGCCAAACAAGGTCTCGAAAAATACTTCACAGGTCAAAGGTCGTTTGGGTCAGGGTCATAAAATTTTTAGGGTTGGTGTAAAATTGATTAACGCGAGGGTACTCAAAGTTTCGTGGCGATCGACAGTTTTTTTTACACGAGTTATTCGCGAAAAACCGAGGGGAGTCCGTTCGACCCCCCCCCCACACACACACACACACACACGCACTACACAGGTGAAGGTTAGCCCCTATCTGTCGGGCATTGACCTTAGCTGATCCTGACATAGTTATATATAAACGTACATATGATCTCGGAATTTTGATCTTACCTCATCTTTGGCCTCTGCTCCCACACCTTGCCATATGCTCTGACTTGAGATGTGACTAATGACCTGACCTTTCCCGGCAGCTGGATCACGAGCGGTCGTCGAGCAAGGACAAAGATGAGGAGATAAAAAGTCAACAGGAGGAGATGCAGCAGCAAAAGGAGAAGCAACAGGCTCTGATGAACACCAAAGTTGCACTAGATGCGGAGATATCTGCCTTTAACAAGCTGCTCGAGTCTAGGAATACCAGGTTAGTTCAGCCGCCGACGATGGGGTGAGCATTGCCATGTGTAGGTTTAGCTTCACTTCCATGCACCTCTACCCATTTGTGTGTGGCCTTCCAGGGCTCCCTTTCTTTCTGCTGTCTCTATCTGTGCGTCTGTCTTGCAGTCATGGTCTTCAGCATCTTCTTTGCCTGTGTACATTTTTCAGTTTCTGTCTCTGTCTGTCTGTCTGTCTGTCTGTCTGTCTGTCTGTCTGTCTGTCTGTCTGTCTGTCTGTCTGTCTGTCTGTCTGTCTGTCACCCCCTCTCTCTCTCTCTCTCCTCTATCTCCCCTCTCTCTCTCCCCCCTCTCTCTCTCTCCTCTATCTCCCCTCTCTCTCTCCCCCCCCCTCTCTCTCTCCCCTCTCTCTCTCTCTCTCTCTCTCTCTCTCTCTCTCTCTCTCTCTCTCTGTCCAACCCTCCCTCCCCTTCCCTTCGGCACCAACCCTCCCTCCCCTCTGCAGGGTAGCGCTTGCTTAGTTAATGCCCATAGCGCTATGGCTATGCTTATTTAGCGATTGATAGTTAGCAACAGATGACCGCCTCATTTAATCCTGACATCAATGGCTATGTTTTCAGCATAAAGAAGCTATGTTTCCCGCCGGGCCTGAGCGAGAAATCGCTGACAAACATCCTGCAGAATTCCGAGGGTATGGAGGAACTGACCGTGACTGCACCCTCCGACTCAACGGGGCAGTGGGTGCGACTACTTCCACCGTCCTTGGGGAAACTGGACGTTTTCGGTGAGATCCTGCAGAGAGAGGAACCGAATAAGCTCAATTCTGACTGGGGAGAAGGGAGCAGACAGTACATGTTTTATAATACCTAGCATCAATTGTAATATTTATTTAATAACAGTCTTAGCAAAGCATCCGATCTTTATTAAATTTCAATGGGAGTATCGTAGCCTCTCTCATGTATCAATTAGGCATTATCAGCATTACAACAGATTGGTAGGTATATCAATTGCAGTCGTTTTGCACTCTACCTGTATTGTGTTACATTCTATTTCAGATAAATTTCCTCAAATCATCATGTTGAGGTCAGAAGTCACCTCCATACTTTCCAAGTGCCAAATTGAACAATATATGTGTTTGTTTACGTATTATTATAGGTAAAGGTACTGACCAATAGCAATGCATCGCATAAGCACAGGCAATGCAAAACTGCTCAGCATTGTCAAGTCGGCTGTGTTGGTGTCAGTGTCGGCTGTGTCAGGTATAAGTGTCGTCTACATCAGTGTTTGACACCATAGTGTCAGTCGCATCCCGACCCGGCGGCAGTTCCGTCCGACTGCAGTCAGCTGACAGTTGACACAGCTCTCCCTCCGACAGGACCGGGGGAGACGGGGGAGCCGGAGACACTGGGAAGACGGCCCGACCATGGGCTGGTGGTCGTCATAAAACGGGCGGGAGATGACGTCATCAACCAGCTGGCCAAGGAGCTGGGACCACGGGTTACCAAGCTGGGCATGTTCTGTGAGTGGCAGTGGCACGGACGGGTTATCGGTATGAGTGGCTAGGTATAGTGATGATACCGAGTAGTTGTGCATGGTAACTGCCAACTGGTAACACCGTCGCAGCACAGGTGAACCGGGGACGTATGTACGGGATAGGTTATAGGGGTACGTCAGAGTAGTGTGATGACAACGGTTTATATGACAATATCAGGAGTGGTTATTTGAATATGTCGTTTCACTTACAGTCTTTCTCTTGTATTGGCTGTGTCGATTACATATTGTGCTATATTTCTGAAGTCATACATTGTGAGCAGCAGTGGCCAAACAGGGTATTGATATGAGTGGTTAGATATGGTGATGAACATATAGAGTAACGATGCATGGTTACACCGTACCAGTAGAGGAGAACCACAGGCTATGAACAGTATTGGCAATGACGTCACAAATGTGTATATGTTTGTATGTGTGTATGTGTGGCATGTTCGGTCGGGTGAATACCACCGACGACGGGTATGTCAATGGACATAATGCCACCCGTGCTGGGTATGTGGGAGTAGTGTGGTGACATTTAGGGAAACAAGTATACAAGTGATAAACATCACAATAACTCGACAGATATGTAAAGACAGATATGTCACTATACCTAGCCAGACCACTTCCAATGCTATTGACTGGGCCGATGACGCATTGTGCTATATGCGCACCACGCTAATGTGTATGTGACGTATATGTATTGTGCCATATGCGCAACACTCATATGCATAATGGTTATCATTTCCCACACCATTCACCTACCATGTCTGTATGTGTCTGTGTTTCCTAGACTGCCCGCGTGTCACTGCCGGAGCCCTACAGGGACTGCTGTCCGCCCTCACCGGCCTGGAAGACGTCACACTTGGCCGCTCTCTGTCCGGCGCCATCACTGACGCCTCACTGGCTGCCCTCCACGGCTGCTCCCAGCTGCGTAAAATGCAGCTGGGACGAGGCAGTGGACTATGTACTTATATACCGGTCACAGCGGTCAGCAGGTCAGTTAGCTGTACATCGAGACCAGACCCAGACCAGACCAGACCAGACCCAGAACAGACCCAGACCCAGACCAGACCCAGACCCAGACCAGACCCAGACCAGACCCAGTCCAGACCCAGTCCAGACCCAGACCAGACCCAGACCAGCCACAGACCAGATCCAGACCATACCCAGACCAGACCCAAACCTAGACCCAGACCAGACCAAGACCAGACTCGACACGACTCAGACCAACCAGACTTCAGACCCAGACCTAGACCCAGAACAGACCCAGACCAGACTCGACTAGACTCAGAACAGACTTAAACCAGACCCAGACCAATAGAAACAAGCACGCATTGTCTGTATGTGTGCTAGGGCTATGTACTATGGATATAACCAAAGCATTTATTGCATAAATATACATAAGCAAAACATTAGTTTTATCATAGATATCATGACATATACGGAAGTCTATGGTTGTATGGATTGGGTTGCCTGCACAATGCACGTTGCTATTATCATCCATAGGTATATGCACGTGATCTATGTAATATCAGCTAGCACACTGTCTACTGCATCGGCCCCAGTCTCAGACCGGACCCGAACGCCGAACCCCAACCGGACCGGACCTGACATGAACTGGCCCAGTGGAGACCGGACCCGTCCCCTACAGACGGCCGGTCGGCCGGCTGGTGTCGCTGACTGGCCTGTGTCCTGTGCTGTCGCAGACTGGTGGTCACCTGTCGGAAACTGGAGGCGCTGCTCTTTAACGCAACGGAGGAGCTCACTCAGACGGTCCTGGACGCCCTGGTCCGGGCAGACCTGGGGAAAAGAGATGACGGCACGCCGAGAACACTGAGGTTCTGGGTCCTAGGTAAGTGACGGCGCCGCCCAGCGCCTCTGATCAGTCCCGCAACAGACGGCTCGGCGCCACCGGCCTCTCGGAGCCGCTGTCGTACACTCTCTCAAGGGGTCGAGGTTAACACATGACGTTGATGTGACGTCAAAACTGATATAAACAGCATATTGGGCTTGGCATCATTTTTATGCATGAATGTGATCTGTGTGACACCACTGGCTGAACTTGGGGATTTGCATTGTGCAATATGCATGTCGGATATATCGTTGTCTTGTGTTATTAGAGCTCCACTGTGTGCATGTTTTGTTTACAATGACACACAATGTGAAAGTGACTTTTAGTGTAATTAGTGTAGGTAGTGCAATTGAAAACAACTGGAAGTTATTGGCTATGATGCTAATTTTTGTATAACCTTTGATTGAGCAAAGATGTAAACAAGAAATCAGTATACCTAGTGTACTGTACTCATTGTAATAAATGGACATCCAGCGTAACCATTGGTGCCTGGCTGTCAGCTGTAATGCTGTGCTTACTGCATGTGGCACCATATACCCGTTCATGTGTTGTTTGTGTCCCGGTGAGACGTCACATCAGACATTTACGTTAGAGTTATGTGTGACGTTGCATAATGTTTGCGCTTTGTGAGGCTGAATAAAGATGTTTCCATTTATACTGTGAGAGACCACTTCGCCATTGTGTATGTCGAGTTGTGGTCATCTTCGACAGTCTTGTCTCTTTATGTAACTCTTTCGCTTCGAACCACTACCTACCTATATTTCTCGTCTTGTCCACAGAACCTGCCTATGGGAAGCTGAGACAGAGGTCCACCAGCAGCATCAAAGTATTGAAGGTTATCTAGAAGTATCACTCAAAAATACCTCGGCGACTCAGAATGCGCCTACAGCAGTCATCCTCAGTAAGTTATGTTCTGTTCTGGTGGTGCTGCATGTAGTCCCTTCCATAGACAGGAGGGAACACACAGGTGGCAGCACCATACACAGTGGTTTCACCACCAGATGGCAGCAGCCTACGATGAATAAACCTCACATTCTCTAACCATGAGCCGGAAGAACGGCGAGTAAGAGTTAGAAACTTTAGTCGCAGTAAATTTATAATTGACCTTAGATATAAAATGTGTGCCCCCTATACGGTAACGTTGTTGTAACGACCAGCGGTAGTGACTGGTGAGTTCCGATGAGTGTGTATGAGATCAGGACGTTCCACTCCCGACTTCAGAGGTCATTGGCACGAGCGGTCACTGTCGTAGGATGCCGCGAATATTTTATCGGACTTGTCCAGTGGGCAGTGACGTCATAAACAATCATATATCGATGACGTCATTATGTCCATTCAGTCTGATATTGTCGCTGTGACGTCACTGTGGCACTATTCTCCCACTATGTCATATCGCACCTATTGTTCCTGTGTGAAGTCATATGCCACATGTTGTCCCCGTATGACGTCATACTCCACCCGGTACCGGCAGGCTCGTTCCCCCTTCTGATTGCCTCAGCACAAGGCTCCGACGTACCGGACAAATGGGACGACAGTCTGCCGGGCTTCATCACCAACTGGGAGCCGGTGAAGCTGCGCTCCTTCAGCACCGGGTGGACACGGTGGGGTCGAACACAATGCTTGCTCGTTCCTACTACGCTGCTTCTGCTTATGCGTCTCCTGTATCATGTATGATAAGAAACAATGACGTGATAGTTCGGTGAAAATCATTCAAATGATGTGAGCAATTGTAGCGATTGTGTGACTTAGGGAATAAAAATATGGATAAGATGCACAGTTAGATGATCGTCAATGTTGCCTTATCCAGTCCCGGCTTGTCGAAATATATCAGCAACCTAATTATGGTACCGAGTTTGTAGAATAGGTACACTTTTCCAAGGCGTTGGTATAAGACATTGCTATACAGATCCGCTAGGACAGACTGATCTAACAAATTGTCAGAGTACCCTGCTCTACGGAATCGATAGAATGAACGCACCATATGTCATTTACCTTTCGAACGACGCCTGTGAAAACTGGAAAGCTATTAGTGCGCTCAGTGTCTCGTATCGATACACGGTGCGGCGGTGTCAACAAACCCGACCGAGGGATGACTGCCAAGTTTGAGGGCCACCGAACCGCCTGACCTGGGGATGGGTGACGATGGCGGGGGGGGGGAGGGGGCGGGGTGAGTGTAGCCGGTGGTTCTCCGCCCCTCACATTGTCTGTGTATCGGTACTTTTGTGAGAGACTGTACATTCACATGGCGTGTGCTGTGGAATTTGCTGTTGGGTGTAAATGTGATAGAAACTGTTTGACGTGAGAAACAAATATAATAGAAACTGTTTGACGTGAGAAACAAGTGTAATTAATTGCTAAGTGCCGATGTTATGTACGGCTTTAGGGATAAGGGATAGGTAGTGGCTTTTTCCCACACTGTCTAAAAATGTGTGAATGATCTATGAGCGCGAAAGTGTGCAAATGAGTCACACTTTTAGGACACCTGTATCGGAGAAAGGTGAATGAACTACGCGTTTTTTTTTCTTACAGGACAAGAATTCTACACTTCACTCACATGATAATGCTTTTGCTGCTTGTGATTGCTCGCAATAAATGCATGCAAGTTATATCGTTTTTCTATATTTTTCCATACTTTCTTTTGCTACTTAACCCTATTAGTGGCAGGGGGTTGTTTTCATCCACCCCTCAGGTTTTTCGGGAATATCTCCGAAACCGCTAAAGCTACGATGCTGAAATTTTCTGACTTTTCCTACAACTAAATTGGGCACATTCCCTGAAAATTTTAAGTTCATAACTTAACCAGGGGCGGCTCCAGAGCACTGGGAATTGGGGGGTCCTATTCGTTCAGCGAGTCATTTGGGCGAAGATCACGATGCTGATGTATTATAACTGTTTACTGTATGCACCAGTTTTACGAACAGTGAATGAAAGGTATAATGTGATAACATATACAAAGTTATTGTGCATCCTCTTTTGACACGTTTTTGCTATAATAGGCGGATACAGGCGTCCAAAAGGGGGGGTTATGTTTTACCTCCCAACATAGGTGCCCTGACACCGCCTATGCATGACCAATACAATTGTAGTCGTTCTCTCATAAGAAAATTGTAACATAGCAAGACCATTACCACCCTTTTTAGAAACAGTACCAACAAAAACCTTATTTACTATACTTTTTGTGTACCCCCCATCTCAATGATCTGTATCCGCCTATGATTTTTGAGAATGCATATTTTTAGGATCCATGTGAATTCCTGGTTCATTCTCTATCGATCGGCAAAAGGTGCGTTAAGATTGGTTCAGAAACCTGGCCGTGATAAACAGTCTAAAATGTATCTGCAATTTGCCCGTTTTTACCCCCCTCTACCCCCCCCCCCCCCTATTGATATTTTTTAATTTTTATTTTTTAGAAATGTAGATCACATTTAGCGAAATCGAATGCCGTTTGAATGTTTAAAATCGGCCCGTTAGATCTCGAGATATCAAGGGGGGGTCGTAAACAGCCCCCCCCCCCTGCCACTAATAGGGGTAGCCAGGAGCCTGCCACTAATAGGGTTAACCCGCGCCGGGGGGGGGGGAGGGACAGAATCTTCCCATTACCATTTTTCGGCAATATCCATTATCCAGTAGGTTAACGGTCGATAACGGCAGATAACAATGTTGGATACTAGATAGCGATACTTTCCTAACGAAAATAAAACTTCGCGAAAAAACGAGCATGTTGCATGTGTCGAGAGGAGGCCGATTCTACGCAGATTTGTCCAATGTCCATGTCCTAGTTCATTGGTTGATCTTCCAGGTCAAGTCAGTGACCCAAAGGTCGTAAAAATTGGGGCTAGAACTTGGTACAGTGAAGTTGTCATTGGGTTTCAGGGTCCTGTCCAGCTCACGGATGTTGTTGTTGTTGTTGTTGTGTGTTCCCTCCAGCCGCGTCACCGCGGTGTAGCCGTGCGGCTCTGGAGGTCCCTCACGGCGGCCGCCAGGGCCGCCACCTCTCCGTCGTCGCGGACGTCTTCCGGGTTCGGGAAAATCGTCCCGTACCTCCGGAGACGCCAGCCCATGAGGGCCGGGCACCGGAAGAAGAAGTGCCGGGGCGTGTCGGCCTCCTCCCGGCACACGGTGCACAGGCCCGCCGCACAGTCGGTGTCAGGGCACTGGCGGCAATCATCGGAAGGGTTCCGTCCAATCCGGTGAAGGTATTGGCGGGATCCTGACCAGTGTCCCGCGCGGAGCTGGTGGACGTCGACGGCCGACGATCTGTCCCCCGTCGCGGCCGGCGGCGGCAGCCGGTTCCCCATCAGGGTCCGGTACCAGCCCTCCGGCTAGGCGGCGGTGGTGCGGTCGCGGGCCAGTCTGGCGGCCGTGCGGTGGGCGGTAGCGACGTCCACCGGGACCGCCGCCTAGGGGAGCGCAGCCGCCTCCTTGGCGAGCTGGTCGGCGCGCTCGTTTCCGTCGACGCCACAATGGGACGGCACCCACTGTAGGTGGATCCGGCGGGACGGACCGGCCAGGGCCGCTAGTTCGGTCCAGATGGCGGCTCCTAGCAGGGTCTTCTGGGACGCCGGGCCCTCTCTCAGCGTCGCGAGGGCCGACTGCGAGTCCGAGCAGATGGTGATCGGCGCGCTCGGCTGGTGCGGGTGGTCGCGCAGGTGGTTCAGGGCCGCGCGGAGTGCGACCATCTCCGCCCTGAAGCTCGAGCAGAGTTGACCGGCCGGGACGCGTAGCTCGTCGGTCGCACCGTCCGGCCACTCCACAAAGGCTCCTGCTCCTGCAGTCGTGCCGGTGACCTCGGCTGGGTCGGACGTGTTGCCGCGGGCTCCGGGCAGTGCGCGCGGCCATGGCTGAGTGAGCGGGGCGCCCGAGCGCCTGGGCGGTGGCGGAGGCCGGCAGTGCGAACGCCGTGTAGCTGTGAGCGAATGTGGCGACCGAGCGGCCTGAGTCCGGTGTTGCACTAGGCTGCAGTGACAAATGGTATCGTGGACCACGTAGGTGGCAGTGACGAGAGATAGAGAGAGGGATTCTCGCAATGGACTCCGAAAGCGGTGACGATCCTGCCTTTAGAGACTGCGTGGCCTCTGGATCTGAGAGTGCTAGTGGCAATACCACTGGCCGGGCGCGGCAATCATCAATGCCTGAGATGTTCCAGAAAGCTGCCGGGAGGCGTTCCAAGCGCCAGGCTGCGGCGCGAGGCCCGAGTTCGCCGCCTGACCCTCCTGAGCCCGCGGCAAAAAGGGGCGGACGTGGCGCCAGCGCCGGAGGAGATTCAGCTTAACGCAGCCACACTGGGTGAGATAAAACGCCTGATCGATCAAGGTAATGCGAACATAATTAAGGCGCTCGAAAACAGATTAGAGAGCATGGAAAAGAAGGTATCTATGCTCGAAGGCGAATGCATGGAAAAGGATTCGACGATTCGGCGTTTAACGTGCCAACTAAATGAGCAAATGAAAGCAACTGAAGAGTTGGATGCAAGGTTGGATGAGATGGATAACAATGCTAGACTCTCGTCTCTCATTCTGACGTGTGAGACCTTTGCGTCCCACCCGCGAAATGAAGACATCGAGCAGTTGGTCGTCTCTGAGTTGAGCCAAAGAATTGACGGGCTCAAAATGTCGAAGTCTGACCTGCAAGTGGCACACAAATTGCAGAACGACACGAAAGTCATTTGCAAGTTTGTGAAGCGACAAGTGAGAGACTTTGTGTACGACGCTCGTTTCAATATGGCGCGGCTCCCTGACCGCGCTGGCCGTCGGGTGCCGCCGTTGTACATCTCGGAATCACTAACGCCGAGAAATCGTCTGCTGTTCGAAGAGCTTCTGCTCGCAAAACGACCAGAGAACGGGGGGCTTATTGCCTCTGTTTTCAGCCGCCGGGGGATCGTGTGGTGCCGCAAGGAGAAGGGTGGCTCGAATTTACGTGTGTAAGATGCCGAGAGCCTCCACAGGATCCTGGGCGGCCGTATTGTCCCGGGATTGCATGGTCCAAATGTGGCCAACTGGCTGCAGATAGGGTAAATTCAAAGAGGCCAGGGTTCAAATTGTCCAGAAGAGGCCAAGGGGTTGAAATGTCCCGTGGTTGAAGTGTCCAGGGGATGTGCCGCCCCTAAGTGCGGAAATGATCGTTGTGGCCAGTGATTGAAATGTCCCGGCCAGATCAGCCGCCGTATAGACCAGTGGTGGAATTGTCCAGTGCTTATTTTGTCCCGGAGCCGATGTGCCCAGTGAACGCACGGTCCCGAGTCCATTTTGTAGGCATTGGCGGTAATGCTCTGAGTGGGCGGCGCCATATCCAATCAGGAAGGATGAAGCAGCGACAGCGATGAATCCCGACCAATCAGCGCCCACCACCTGTCAAGGGGCGGAGCATCGCATCCTGGCCAATCGGTGCCAAGGAGCGGAGCATCGAAAGCGTTCTGCGGTGACGGCGGGAAGTTTGAGCTATTGGTCTCAGATGAGCGGGGTCGTCTCCTCAGCTCTGAGGGCGGTAAACACACTCGCCAACCGGAGCCGGGGGATGGGTAGTCAAACGGTGCGGCGGCGATGGCGTGATGGAAAATCACAAGACCCGTACTGGCGTGGTTGCGACCAGTTATACGCCGTCCGATGTTGATCATGATCAAGACAGCCCATATTCAGCCCAGATTCAGCCCGGATCCAGCCCAGATTCGGGACACCTCCGATCAAGCTGAAACTCGCACACAATGTAGGCCATGACAAGCTCAATCCACAGTCCAAGTCATTCAGTGGCACTTCCAGCCGTTTGACCTACAGAGGTCAGCAAAGGTCACGTGACCCAAATTTGCACAGCAGATTGTGGCCCACCCAGTATAGATAGAGCGCTAAAAATGGCACCAATCGACTCGCCAGCATCTAATCTTACTTTCCCAATACTCATTTGACCTCTCAAGGTCATGCAATGACCTAAGGTCATTTGTGGGCTATGTCGAAAATACACTTGCACAGCAGTTTTCGAGTAGAGGGATTGACCGAATTCCAAATCAAAGCACATCATCAGGTAGCCCATAAGCCGTAGTAACTTTCCTTAAAAACCGCTTTTCGATATGTGACCCCGTTTGACCTCGGCAGGTCAAAATGTGCAAATAAACGACACTCAATACGTCGCAGGCCAGATTCAGCCCAGATTCGGGACACCTCTGATCAAACTGAAACTCGCACACAATGTAGGCCATGACATGCCCAATCCACAGTCCAAGTCATTCGGTGGCACTCCCAGCCGTTTGACCTACAGAGGTCAGCAAAGGTCACGTGGCCCAAATTTGCACAGCAGATTGTGGCCTTCCCAGTAGAGCTAGAGCGCTAAAAATGGCACCAATCGACTCGCCAGCATCTAATCTTACTTTTCCAACTCTCATTTGACCTCTCAAGGTCATACGATGACCTAAGATCA